ACGGTCGTATTAGGATAGTTTCACATTTAATTATTTACTTACCTTTTTGTATTTTAGAAATGACTTTATTATGGTGAGAATTCCTTGGTAAAGGATTAATATATGTAGCATGGTCCTAAAATTCTATTTACATTAATTAAAAGTATTCTTTTTTTGTTTTTTAAATAGTATATATATTTCTTCATATTTATTTTTAATTTTTTATATTATCATCGTAGTTGGAGTTCGTATTGTTGTAATCTGAATACAAATATTTACATATAATATTATTGATTATCCAAGATACATAATTAAGGATTGCCATATATAAGTAAAGATATCGAAAATAATATTAGTATTATCCAAGATACATAATATAAGTAAGATGATGAATAATATACTCGTGATCATAATTTAAAAATTTAGTATTATTTAGGATGGTTTCTTAATAAGATTTTCCGTAAATTTTGTTAATGACCATATATAAGTAAGGTTATCAATAATATATACTCATGGAATTAAGACAAATAAGTAAGGAATCAAAAATAGTATTGGAATTTCTATTAGTATAGGTACTCTATTGATTTCAATCAATATATACACGCATTTCCATTAATAAATCTTTGTTACTTATTAATTTAAGTATGAAATTTATAAATATGAAAGTAAGATAAAGGATTAATATATGTAGCATGGTTCTAAAATTCTATTTAAGTTAAATGAAAATTATTATTATTATTTTTTATTTTTTAAATAGTATTTATATTTTTTCGTATTTATTTTTAATTGTTTATATTATCCTCATAATAGGAGTTCGTATTATTTTAATCTGAAAACATATATTAACATATAATATTATTGATTATCCAAGACACATAATTAAGGATTTCCATATATAAGTAAACGGATCCAAAATAATATTAGTATTATCCAACATAAATAATATAAGTAAGGTGATGAGTAATATATATACTCGTGATCATCATTTTCAAATTTAGTATTATTTAGGATTGTTTCTTAATATATATTTTTTTGTAAAAAATAATATTCTAATTTCCAGTAATATAGGTACTCTATTGATTTTAACTCTTATTATACACAAATTTCCACAATAAACCTTTGTAACTTATTATTTAAGTATGTAATTTTTAAATATGGAAGTAAGATAAAGGATTAATATAAGTAGCATGGTCCTAAAATTCTATTTAAATTAAATGAAAAATATTATATTTGTTTTTTAAATAGTATTCATATTTTTTCATATTTATTTTTAATTATTTTATAATATCATCATAATAGAAGTTCGTATTGATGTAATCTGAAGGAAAGAATTTCGTTGAATGTCAGTGATTATCGCGTAAAAAATCTACGGTCAATTGTTTCCAACAGGAGATCCGCTGGTGCATCGTATATAATTTATTTCCGCTGGTTTACTTGGATATTACGTGGCGTGCTGACATGTTTAAATTTTGCCACATAGACATGTCAAATGTCGAATTTCTGTGCATCCGAGTCTCCTTTATTATATTAAAAGCATAAATATTATATTTTTAAAATTGAAAAGAAATTTTTATACAATCTTTTTTTAATTATGAAATATCATAAAGGGTTATGTGAACTTGTGAGAAAAATCACCCTTGCTTGGATGGCTAGAAACTCAACCAAATGTCTAGGAGGTTTTGGGTTCAAACCCCAACAAAGGCATGTTTTGGAAAAAAATCGCAAGATTAAATACGTGGCAGATGACTTGTTAAAAAATACCAATGAAAAATGAGATGAGAGAATGTTGTTTTGCTCTATACAATGAAAAATGAGATGAGAGAATGTTGTTTTGCTCAATACTCAAATAAATTTTATCTCAATATTCAAAGTAATCTGAAGCTCTGGAAAAAGTAACATGCAAACTAAGAACAGTAAATGGGCTATGGGCCGCGTAAAGTTTTTCATGTGTGGACGATTTTCTATAGTCTGGTCCACTTGTAGGGTAATGGCCTTATGGGCCGGGCGCATTGAAGATCATCTCTATCGCCTCCGAGTGCCTGTCACCCGGTGCTGGAGACAAAAAAAAAACAGAAATCTCAGATGCAGAACGAGACATGTATTCAATCTCCGGATCTCGAAAAGGAATGAATTCGATCTTCTCATTTTTGTGTTTATATGTTTGTGTAAGAGTTCGAAACGCGTTTTGTTCTAACTTTTCTGCCCTATTTTGTCACAGATCTATCGACAAGATCCTTCAGAGTAAGTTGATTATCCGCTATGCTCCTGATTATTATCAGTTAGATGCACTTCTCTGTGTGTGTTTGATTTGTATAGATTGTGTTTCAAATGAATTTAGCGTTTAGAATGTTTAATCTGAGGTCCTGAGATTTTTGGGTTATGTGTATCTGTTGCTGATTGCTATGATGTTATCTGTTTGCATTCTTATGAACAGATCTCTGTGATAAGATTTCTTTACCATTTCATTTTGCATAAATTTTGTCAAATTTGTCAATGTTTCTGATGTATAATATAGCCTTAGTCTGAAAATGGAAAGTTTAAGAAGAGTTTTATGCTTTGATTAATGAAGAAGAGTAAGAAATTATCAAGCATAATGATTCATGAAGATGTGAAGATGATTGAATAGTTATTATACAAGCGTTTGTGTAATTTTTTTTCCAGTAGACAGTACTGAAAAACTAAACGTTGTTGTGCTATGCAAAATGAAGTTTATACAAGTTTTTGGGCATCAAGTAGCTATAAGTATAGACTATGGATTAGTTTTTTGGCATTTACTAAAAACCCTGATTCAAAACATACAGGATTAAATCTGCCGCCTGAATCCTGATCTTCTCAGACAAGGATGTTGTGTCCAGTTTTGCAAGGCAGTAACTGCATCTGCTTAATACTCCATGTATAATCAGTAAGTATTGTCTGTATATAATGCTTATTGCGTAGATCCTTCTTTAAATGTGCTCATATTTCATTCCAAATTTAAAACAATCATTAATATTGATCTAAATCCGGCAATTTGATCAATTTTGCTACTTTGTATGCTAAATATAAAAGACCGAATCTGTTTGATCTTTATGAGAACTAGATCTGCTAAGATCTTATATCTTGTAAATTAAGTAATGTGTCACTCTTTACAGAATTTGAGTCCGCTTAAATCGTCATTTATCTATTAATATCACATACTATACTCTGATCCATATAAATTAATTCCCCAGGCCAGTTGGGGGCTTTTATCTAAATTTGGTGAATTGATCAACATAGGTATTTTGAGTTAGTCCGTGTTTGGAAACACTAGTGGAGCCTCAAATGAATGAAAAAGAACATGAAATTAAACTTACTATCTTTATATCTGTGTGAAGAAGAGTGAGTATCTTACAAGAGTCCTCTAATATCTTTTATCTTTCTTTTTAAGATTCATGCAACATAAAGTCATCCTCTTCTATAGAAATTGCAACTTGCTCTGTATCTGCACTAACCTTGCTCCAATCTTGCACGAAACACGCACAGAGGAAATGACATACGAGTAGTTCTTTATTCTTCTTTATCTTTATTAAATCAGTAATCCTGCTTTTAATTAATTAAAACATGCAGGTTGGTATACCTCTGGTATAATTGATGACAACATTCTTCATCTGCTGTAAAAATGAAAATGAAGAACAAAAAAAGAGTGTCACTTCTGCCCTTAAAAATGAAGAAGAAAGACAAAAAAAGTTGATATCTGCCGGAGAAAGAAAAAGAAAACGGAAAACATTTGTAACGTCGGCCGGAAAAGCAAAAAGGAACGTGAAAAAGGGGTAATGGCTGCCGTAAAGAAATGATAAAGAAAACCAAAAAGGTGTTACGGTGGCCGTAAAGAAATGAAAAAGAAAACCAAAAAGGTGTAACGGCCGCCGCAAAATGAAAAAGAGAAGCAAAAAGGTGTAAAGATTGCCGTAAAAAAATGAAAAAGAGTTCGAAAAAGGTGTAACGGCCGGCGGGAAAAAATGATAAAGAAGAAAAAAAAGTACACCGTAAGATCCGGCCGTTTCCTCGCCATCATCTGGTTTTTAGAGATGAAACGCAACCCTTGTTTTCTGGGGTTAAACGTAAATTTTGGTTTTTTTCAAACTTAGATCATAGACAATGACAAGTAAAGAAATGAAATATCATATGTTGACGTGACTTATTTCAATCAATAAAAATCGATCCAAATAGCATATGCAAAGTGAGTTGAGTGACATATCATGCAATGACAAATAATTATTTTTGTCACTTTTTTTAATCTAATAATGTTTTTAAATTATTAAATTTATTCATCTATTATTTTTTTTTATAAAAAATAGATGTATTCTTTTTTTAGAAAATTCTATCTTCTACGAGAAAAAGACATTTAAAAAATAATAAAAAGAAACCGGAAGGATGCCTCGCGCCTCGTGCGTTTAGCGTGGAGGAACGTTGAAGCCCCATGAGACAAACAAGGAAGTGTAGTATGGGCAAAACATTTGCAAACTTTCAATCCGTTAGATTCAAAATGACTTGATTGTCTAATTGAGAAAGAGACTCACATCGGAACTTGAAAAGAAAACAAATTGATTTATAATCTCTTGAGTTGAACAAAGGGATCGATTGAATTATACTCTTTCCGTCCACAAATAAACTTCTCGTTCAATATTCACATGATCAAACTTTATTCACTTTGTTGGCCTATATTTGTCACCATTTGATAAAATAATATAATCACGTCTCCTCTAATTTTGTAGATTTTTTTATATAATTTTTTAATATGTAATTTTATTTTTAGATTTTATACCATTTTTATATAAAATGATTTGAAATTAACTTCAATGAAATGCAAAAGTTTATTTGTGAAATGATTTAACGGATGTATCTTATGACACAACCCAATCACTAGACTCAGTCCTAAACTTCATCAGTTTAAAAAAAAAACACCCCCTCCATCTTAGCACACACCATTTTCTTCACTTCTACAAGTAAAACACAGCTCTTTCATTTAGCTATATATCCTCACATGTCTCACCGGCCTTCTCTATAAATGCAACCCCACCCAGTGCTTCTTCACGACTTCACCCCAACCCAACCCAAAAGCTCCCCTCCCCATCGAAACAACAAAACCAACAATGACAAACAGAGAGAGAGAGGTGTACACAATGGAGGAGTTCCTCGAAGTCCTCTCCCTTCAGCAACAGACCGTCTCCCTAGAGATCAAGCGCAAGCAGCGCGCCGCCGCCGCCTCTAGTTCCCAGGAGGACATGCAGGAGATGATGGCCCTGCAGCAGAAGAAGGCCGCCTTCGAGAAGAAGTGGCGGGAGGCAATAGCCGACCCCAATGTCCGCCGCCCAACAGTGATTGAGCTCTTTGGGGAGCTCCATCACTCTGAACCTCTTCCTCCCTCTCCTCCTTCCCCCGTTGATCCTACTTCTCCCCCTCCGGCGACCTCCTCCGTTGTTGGAGAAAGCTCTGGCTCCCTCCCTGGCGAAGTGCGTGAGTCTGATGACGAGGGAAAGGATCGTCTTAATCTTACTTGCCCACGTCCGGGTAAAATTAATTACTCTCTCCGTCCTAATTTAAATAGCATGTTTTGACTTTTAGGCATATTTAAAGAAAATAAAAAATAGAGTTGATTTTTTTGAAATTGTCATTACTTTTTAGAAGGGATGATGATGAATGAGAAGATAAGGTAAAGAAGAGTGACTTATTTTAGGGGTTGTTTAGATATTTTATTTTTAAAAGTTCACGAAAACAACTAACAGACAACTTATTTTGGGACGGAGAAAAAAGGCAAACAGGCAATTTAAAATGAGACGGATGGAGTATTTAATTTATTCACATTTTTTTTCCTAGCTAGCTTCTTTCTCTCTTTATGTTGTCTTTTTTGTTTTGTCCCTTGTGTTAATTATCTATTTCTCTATTTTTTAAAATAAAGTACCCGGAGTACGAAATATGTCGTCGAACAACTTGTTTTACATTTTAAAATTTTAACGATTTTTTTAAGAAATATTTGCACTAAATAGCACTAAAAATTAAATCATTTCCCTAAATAGCACTTAAATTGTTTTATTCCCTAAATAACACTTAATAATGTCCATAATGTCCAATAATGACAAATATTTACTTGAATAATGACTAATGTATAATGACTAAAAGTGCTACATTGAAAAGAAAAACACATGTGGTGCTATTTAAGAAAAGTCATTATGTTTTAGTGCTAATTAAGTAAATTCTCCTTTTTTTAAAACTATGTGAAAACCTATTTCTTCATAACAAATTTTAACTTCACATGTTTCCTTATTTAAATCTTTTCTTAAGTTTTATAAAACTCAAGCTGGGAAATTGCTAATGGCTCGGAAGTTCTATTAAAAAAAACATTTATTTATTTAGTTACGAGTTATTATAAGAGAGACTACTTTCAAAATATATTTTGTATCTATGTATAAATAACGGCATTAATGATTAAAGTATTGTATTGTATTGACAACCATAAATATCAAATGATCGAGAAGATTAAATCTTAATAGAATTGAAGGAATAATATGTTATGAATTGAAAATATTTTTTTTTGTTCTTGTTTTTGGTATAGGGAACGTGGGAGGGGGTAACAAGAGCAGAGCTTGAAGAAGAGAGAGGGAAGCTTGAAGAAGAGAGAGGGAAGCTCAGGTGGCATCAACGGATGGATGGTGTGGACTAGGGTTTTAAAACGAACGAATCAAATTGAATATTATGAAATTTTATTCATATCTGAAAAATGATACCATTATTCATATTCATATTCATATTCATTTTTTATTTCAATAATTATTACTGTTCGTATTCGATTTGATACTAAATTTAAATATTCGCTTCATATTCGTATTCTTAAATAAAATACTACCTCTGTCCCAAAAAGATTTACACCTTTTGACTAAAGTTGAAATTAAGGGAGAGATAATTTTGTGTTGACTTTCCAAAAATATCCTTGATGTGATGGGTAAAAGTAGGATGTGATGTGTAGATTATTAGGAAAAAAGGTATGATATGATATGTAGGGTTTGAAAAAGTAAGAGTTAAAAATGGTTTTTTAGTAGGAATGGGTAGGAGATTGTGGGACGCAATTTTTTTGAAAGGTGTAAATCTTTTTAGGACAAAGGGAGTACAATTTTTTTTACGTTTTATAGCGTCAAAGATTAATAAAAAAATCACCTAAATAGAAGTAAAATACAGAGAAAGTTTCAAAATAGAAATTTCATGTTTTATCTCCAAAATAAGAGTTCGCACTATGGTAATGAGGCACTGTTTCTAAACAGCTTACATTAACACTTTTTAATAAGGTACATAGTCATATATAATTGCCACTGTAAATGCATTTTAACATCTATTTTGGGACTAAAACATACTCCCTCCGTTCCATAAAACCCTTCCTCTTTCGTTTTTTTTGCTTTCCACAAAATACTTCCACTTTTTATTAAAAAACCACTTTTACCCTTACTTTTTCATACTCTACCTATCACATCATACTTTTTTCACTAATAACCAACTATCACATCTTACTTTTTCCCATCACATCAGGGGCAAAATTGGAAAGTCAACCAAAATTACACTTTCCTTATTTTATCCCCAAAGTCAAAACCGAAAGGGTTTTGTGGAACGGAGGGAGTATAACTCATATTTTGGTATATTTTCAATATTTTACTTATACTAGTCTTTTTTTCAAAATTAATAGGGTATTAAAAATAGCATGTCTACAACAACAACTTAATTACATCCCATGAGAATAGGGTCTGGAGGATGTGTATAGACAAATCTTGCCCCTATGAAGTACTCTTGTTATAAACACATATATTAGGTATAAGTTTCTATATTTAAATTCGAATATATTCGTTAACATTTCAAATCGAATACACATACATTTGTATTCACTTTAATTTCTTTCAAATTCTAATAAATATTAATATTCTTATTTGTATTCATTTTTTCAAATAGAATCATTTATTTCGAATACAAATTACAAATCGAATTAAATTGTGAATGGCTTCATTTTGGGGGGGGGAGTTTTTTAGCACTGCACATTGAGGTAAATTTGTCAATGTTTCTATTGTATACGGAGTATATGTTAGCCTTAATTAGGTTGAAAATGGAAAGTTTAGGCAGAGTGTTATGCACTTATGCTTTGATTAATGAAGAAGAAGAGTAATTAAGACAGTATCTAGATTTGATTGAATGGAAACAACGTTTTCAATTAGCATTAACGTTTAGGATAAATATTTAATGGTGTAGATTAATTTTAAAAATGCTAACACTAACACTATGTTTGGTTCAAGGAATTCAAAAGGGAAAAGGAAAAAAAATGAAGTGAAAAACAAGTTTTCTTGTTTAGTTAGAAAGGAAAAGTGGAAGGAAAAGAAAATAGAAGGCAAAATGTACAAGTGGAGGGAAAACAAATTCCTCCCATTTTGGTGAGAAAAATGAGAGAAAACCATTTTCTTTTTTTTTCCTTCAAAATTTCTTGAACCAAACATAGTGTAAAGGTTACGTACCGTCAGATAGCTTTTTCAAAAAGCTACCGCTATTCAAAAACACTGATGCCAAACGGAGCCCAAGTCATAGTCTTCTATTGGAATAGCAACTTGCTCCGTATCTGCCCGAACCTTGCTCCGATCTTGCACGAAACACACAGAGAAATGACATACTCATTAGTTCTTTATTCTTCTTTATCTTAATTATTAAATCACTAATATAATCCTGCTTTTAATTAATTAAAATGAAAATGAAGAACAAAATTAAGGGTTAAGGAGTATTAACGGCGCCTTTTCCCGACCTTTATCAGTCACCCGTAAAATTCATCAATTTTTTTTTTAAATACACACTACATCTTAGCACACACCATTTTTTCACTTCTACAAATAAAACTAAGCTCTGTCATTTATATTAGCTAGCTACCCTCACATGTCTCACCTTCTCTATCAATTCAACTCCACTCATGCAGTGCTTCTCCACCCCAACCCTAAAGCTCACGTCCCGCCGGAAGTAAAATTAATTTAATTTATTCACATTTCTTTTTCCTAGCTAGCTTCTTTCTCTCTTTACGTTATCTTTTTTGTTTTGTCCCTTGTGTTAATGATTTATTTCTCTATTTTTAAAAATAAAGTACGAAATATGTCGTCGGAAAACTTGTTTCTTTTACAATTCATGCCCCCCGTTTTACATTTTAAAATTTTAATGACTTTTTAAAACTATGTGAAAACCTATTTCTTCATAACAAATTTTAATTTCACATGATCAAAGTATTGTATTGACAACCATAAATTTCAAATGAGAAGATTAAATCTGAACAGAATTGTAGGAATAATATGTTATGAAGTGAAAATATATATTTTTTTTTGTTTTTGTTTTTTGGTATAGGGAACGTGGGAGGGGGTAACAACAACAGAGCTTGACGAGTGACATCATCAGATCGACGGATGGATGGTGTGGACAATTAATTAAATATGTATTGTCTTTAATTAATTGTTTTCTTAATTTAGTAATGCTTTTATATATATTAAATATTAAATATAAATACTATAATGTGTAAGAACATTGAATGGAATGAATTGTGAAAAAGTTTGATTAAGCTCTTTCCTTTTATGACTTGATTCATGATCTATAGTTATCGAGAAGCCCTTAAAGATAGAATCCGACGCTAGACATACAAAAATGGTATGGTTTGCAAAGTGCAGCTCAGTCAAAATGGTGTATCTCTAGCATTAATCAAACAAAAAAGCGTACCGTCTGCTATAAAATATGAAAAAGCGAAACAAAAAAAAGGTATAACGTGTGGTGATTTGATACCAAAATGATTTTTTGGGGAATCTTTTTTCTATTAAGCAATGAAAAATGTGGTGAGAAAAAAAATCACAAGAAAATATATTTACTCAAATCAAATGAAGCCTTAATAATATAAATATATCAAATTACGATGATAGTCTTATAGTCAAATTTGGTTAATCTTTGATTTTGTTCAGTGCAAGTTATGCGCAATATATCCGTGGCTGGGCAGCTATTGTTTTAGTACAAATTTTACTAAAAGCAAAATATTTTAGCGGGTAGAATATTAGATAAAATTAATCACTTACATATTTTATTTCAGCGGGTAGAATGTTAGGTAAAATTAATCACTTACATATAAAGTCGGTATCCACTATACTAACCCAAAATCTTAAGCTTGTGGTTGTGGCTTATTTAATGTTGTATTTAATGAAGTGTTCCAAAATATTCGAAATATGTTGTAACAATCAATTTTTTGTGATAAACACGTGTCATTTGTAATTTTTTAATATTGTTTTAATATCAAATAGTCCGTTTTCTCATTGTCAATAATCTATTATGTAGGAATATTATCTTTGTCCTTGGAATTTCTTAAGTTATATTCAATTTAATTTTTTCATTATGAATTACACTCTTAATTAAATTTTAATAAATAACGAATATAATATGGAGTAAAAAAATTCTCTCTGTGGAGGTACGATACTAGTTTAATCTCACCCGCACGGGTAGCCCAAGTGGTAAGCACTTGGTGAAGTTTGGAGAATGACCAAGGATCGAAACCTGGCAGCGACCGTTGTGGGGGCGACCACCTCTGAAAAATGGGGGGAGTCTCTGGTGCGCACTAGGATATGGTCTAGCTAAGTGTTGTGTTTGGGTCACCGTGATTTACCTCCTCTCACAATCCCGTCGGGTCGGGCGTGAAGGGCGCCCGGGGTGAGCGATTTCACCTTTTGGAGAACGATACTAGTTTAATCTCAATGCTCACATAAATGTGAAGCTCTTTTCCGAGACAGTACGAAGTACTCCGTAACATGCAAACTAGGAACAGTAGATGGATAATGGGCCGGGTAGATTTTTTCACAGGTCGACAATTTTCTATAGTCTGGTCCGATTGTTGGGTTATGGCCTTATGGGCCGGGCGCAATGAAGATCATCTCTATCGCCTCCTAGTGCCTGTGAGTCTGTGACCCGGTGCTGGAGACAAAAAAAAAACAGAAATCTCAGATGCAGAGCGAGCAGATGTATTCAATCTCCGGATCTCGAAAAGGAATGAATTCGATCTTCTCATTTTTGTGTTTTTATCTTTGTGTAAGAGGTCGACACACGTTTTGTTCGGACTGTTCTGCCCTATTTTGTCACAGATCCATCGACAAGATCCTTTAGAGTAAGTTGAATAGTTGATTATCAGTTAGATGCACTTCTCTGTGTGCATTGGATTTGTATAGATTGCGTTTCAAATGAATTTAGGGTTTAGAATGTTTAATTTGAGGTCCTGAGATTTTTGGGTTATGTGTATCTATTGCTGATTGCTTTGATGTTATGTGTTTGCATTCTTATGAACAGATCTCTGTGATAAGATTCCTTTACCATTTCATTTTGCATAAATTTTGTGAAATTTCTCAATGTTTCTATTTTATAATATAGCCTTAGTCTGAAAATGGAAAGCTTAGTAAGAGTGTTATGCTTTGATTAATGAAGAAGAGTAAGAAGTTATCAAGCATAATGATTCATGAAGATGTGAAGAAGATTGAATAGTTATTATACAAGTGTTTGTGTAACTTTTTTTCCCATTAGACAGTACAAGTTTATGCTGTTGTGCTATGCAAAATGAGGTTTATACAAGTTTCTGGGCATCAAGTAGCTATAAGTGTAGATTATTGATTAGTTTTTCGGCATTGACTAAAACTCTGATTCAAAACATGCAGGATTAAATCTGCGCGAATCCTGATCTTCTCAGACAAGGATGTTGAGGCCAGTTTTGCAAGGCAGTAACTGCATCTGCTTAAACCTCCATGTATGATAAGTAAGTATTGTCTGTATATAATGCTTATTGCATAGATCCTTCCTTAAATGTGTTCATATTTCATTCCAAATTTAACAGTCATTGGTATTGCTCTAAATCCGGCAATTCGATCAATTTTACTAATATAAATATAAAAGACTGAATCTGTTTGATCTTCATGAGAAGCTGATCTGCTAAGATCTTATATCCAGTAAATTAAGTAATGTGTCACTCTTTACAAAATTTGAGTCCGCTTAGATCGTCATTTATCTATTAAATTAATATCACATACTATACTGAGATCGATATAAATTAATTTCCCAGGCCAATTGGGGGCTTTTATCTAAATTTGGTGAATATATCAACATAGGTATTTTGAGTTAGTCCTTGTTTGGAAACACTAGTGGAGCATCAAATGAATGAAAAAGAACACGAAATTAAACTTACTTTCTTCATATCAGTGTTAAGAAGAGTATCTTACAAGAGTCCTCTAATATCTTTTATCTCTCTTTTTAAGATTCATGCGACATAAAGTCATCTTCTATTGAAATCGCAACTTGCTCCGTATCCGCACCAACCTTGCTCCAATCTTGCACGAAACACAGAGGAAATGACATACTCCGTAGTTCTTTATTCTTCTTTATCTTAATTATTAAATCCCTACTCCTGCTTTTAATTAATTAAAACATGCAGGTCGTGTAGTATAATTGATGACAACATTCTTCATCTGCTGTAAAAGTGAAAATGATCAACAAAAAAGAGTGTAAAGTCTGCCGTAAAAATGAAGAAAGACCACAAAACAAAAGTTGATGTCTGTCAGGAAAAAAATAGAAATCGGAAAAAAATTGTAACGTCTGCCGGAAAAGCAAAAAGTAGCGGGAAAAAGGTGTAACGGTGGCCGTAAAGAAATGAAAAAGAAAACCAAAAAGGTGTAACGGCCGCCGCAAAGAAATGAAAAAGAGAAGCAAAAAGGTGTAAAGGTTGCCGTAAAAAAATTGAAAAAGAGTTCGAAAAAGGTGTAACGGCCGGCGGGAAAAAATGATAAAGAAAAAAAAAAAAAGTACACCGTAAAAGTGTTATCTCTTCAACCGTTACAGTATCAACACCCAACCAACATACAAGGAGGAGTTGGGCTAGGCGCGATGGGTCAGACCTGGCCGTTTTCTCGTGATCTCCTCAATATTCCCACCCTTCCATAACCACAAAAATTTGCATGTAAAATTTAAAAAAAATAAATAAATAAAAAACCTAAAGGTTGTGCAGCATAGATTGAAACACAAAATTGCTGCTTATTATTTCATTTGTCTTACTTTAAATTGCTTATTTCAATTTACGATTTTTTATCGCAATAAAATTAAAAAATAAACATTACATATAAAAAACTACATAAAAAATTCTATGTAACAAGATGTGATATGATTATATTATTTTATTAAATGAGTAATGAAAATATGGTAATAAAATAAATAAAATTTAACATAGTGAATAATAAACAAACAATTTAATATGAAAAATAATTTAATGATATTTTAAATTAACCACCCGGGCAAACTATACTAGACCGAGTTTAGGATAGTTTGTTGGGTTCAGAGAATGAAAGGGTACAGTAAACAAGGATTGACCGGGAGGATAGTTTGTTGGGTTCAGAGAAACACATGTAGTTTAATTGTTATTAAGTATGTAGAAGAGTACTGAGAGGTATTACACGATATGCTCCAGAGAGATAAAGTCTAACCCCTTCATTTGAGGATTACATAGGTATTAATAATGAAATTGAGGGGACAGAGCGCCACACGTCCACATCAGCACACGCTCTCAGACGGCGAGAGGTGACTTCCTCTTTTCCCGTAGCGTTTTATCCCATTTCCTTGTCATCTTGTGCTAGATTCAAAATGACTTGATCGTCTAATTGAGAAAGCGTCTCACATTGGAACTTGAAGAAAAGACAAATTGGTTTATACGCTCTCGAGTTGAACTAAGTAATCGATTGAGTTCATTAATATGATTCAATGCAAGTATCTTATGACACCACCCAATCACTAGGCTCAATCCTAAATTTCATCAATTTAAAAAAAAAAACTCCCTCCTTCCGTCGTACCCCATTTTTTTCACTTCTAAAAATAAAACTCAGCCCTGTCATTTAGCTACCCTCACACGTCTCCCCTTCTCTATAAATGCAACCTCACCCATACAGTGCTTCTTCACCCCAACCCTAAAGCTCACTTCCCATCCCACTCATACAGTGCTTCTTCACCCCCAACAAAACCAACAATGTCAAATAGAGAGAGAGGTGTACACCATGGAAGAGTTCCTTGAAGTCCTCTCCCTTCAGGAACAAACCGTCTTCCTTGAGATTAAGCGCAAGCAGCGCGCCGCCGCTGGCTCCAGCGTTTGTTCCCAGGAGGACATGGTGGAGATGAAGGCCCTCCAGGAGAAGAAGGCCGCCTTTGAGAAGAAGTGGCGTAAGGCGATAGCCGACCCCAATGTGCGCCGCCCCACAGTGATTGAGCTCTTTGGGGAGCTCCATCACTCTGAACCCCTTCCTCCCTCTCCTCCTTCCCCCGTTGATCACAATGATCATGCGGATCCTACCTCTTCCCCTCCCGCAACCTTCTCTGTTGGAGAGGGCTCTGGCTCCCTACCCAGGGAAGTGCGTGAGTCTGATGACGAGGGGAGGGATCTGAATCGTACTGGCCCACGACCCGCCGGAAGTAAGATTAATATGATTTATTCACATTTTTTTTCCTAGCTAGTTTCTTTCTTTTACAATTCACGTCCCCCGTTTTTACATTTTAAAATTTTAATGATTTTTTTTAACTATGTGAAAACCTATTTCTTCATAACAAATTTTTACTTCATATGTTTCTTTATTTAAGTCTCTTCTTAAGTTTTATAGAACTCAAACTAGGAAATTGCTAATGGCTCGGAAGTTCTATTATAAAAACATTTATTTATTTAGTTACGAGTTATTATAAGAAAGACTACTTTCAACATATTTTCTCCTCTTATTATTTTCTACATGTTATCAGAGCAAGTTTTAAATTCTTGAGATGACAAAATAAGACTAGTAATAAATATTGTTGAAGTACTCCTTCCGTCAAGTTTTGATCTTTCTATTTGTGTTTTCTTGGTTAAAGTTTCCATGTAGCTTTGAAACGTAGTTTTGAAATATTATTTTTTATGAAATATATTTCATATTTATGTATAAATATCGACATTAATGATCAAAATATTATATTCTTTATTGAAAACCATAAATTTCAAATGAGAAGATTAAATCTGAACATAATTGAACGAATAATATATATACTATGAAGTGAAAATAATGTTTTACTTTTTTCTTGTTTTTTTTTTGTTTTGGTATAGGGAACGTGGGAGGGGGTAACAACAGCAGCACTTGAAGAAGGGAGAGGGAAGCTAGGGTGGCATCACCAGATCGAGGGATGGATGGTGTGGACTTATAATTAATTATATATGTATTGTCTTTAATTAATTTAGTAATGTTTTTATTAAATATGAATACCATAATGTGTAAGACGTAACATTGAATGCAAGACATGGATGAATTGTGAAGATGTTTCATTAAGCTCTTTCCTTTTTTGACTTGATCTATGATCTAAAGTTATTGAGAAGCTCTTAAAGACCGACGCTAGACATACCAAAATGGTATGGTTTGCAAAGTGGAGTACAGTCAAAATGGTGTGTCTCTAGCATTAATCAAACAAAAAAGCATAACGTCTACTTTAAAATATGGAAAAGCCAAACCAAAAAAGGTGTAACGTGTGGTGATTTGATACCAAAATGATTTTTTGGGAAATTTTTTTTCTATTAAACAATGAAAAATGCGGTGAGGAAAAAAAATTCTCAAGAGATATATTTACTCAAACCAAATGAAGCCTTAATAATGTAAATATATCAAATTAGGATGAAACACTCACAGTCCAATTTGGTTAATCTTTGATTTTGTTTTGTGCAAGTTACGTGCAACATCCGTGGGCAGATATTGTTTTAATTAATATCAACATTTCACTTAACTTTTAGTGTTATAAATTAATTGTAAAAAAATGAACTCGATCAAAATATTGTCATTGAATAAATTTACAATAACTTAATTAAAATTCAATACTAAATAAGGGTACATATAAACTTGATGATGCCAGTTACTTGGCGCATTTCACAATGGTAATCGTTAGTGCCAGTTTTTTCCTTTCTTTCTTTTTTTTTTCCACTCTTTTTGATTAAGAAACAAACTAGGGGCAAAATGTTTTTGTAGAAGATATGAGAAGATATTTTCATTTTTGTTATTTCTTTTCTGTAAGTTAGTTTTGGACAACTGGCATTTGTTTGTTATTTTAACAACTGGACTCGTTATATTCATTTGTTTAAATAGCTTTGTACTCCTTTACAGAGAGATTGATTTTTCTGATAAAATAAGAAAGTTTCTTCTTCTTCTAAGCTTTCGGTAGAAACTTGCGTTTCTTCTACAGAAGCTGAATATAGAAGTATGGCTGCCACAACTTGTGAACTTCTTTGGCTGAGTTATTTGCTTCATGATTTACATTTGGATATCTCTTCCTAAATTTGTTGAATACTTGAATGACAATTTACGAACTAAGACCAATCGTAGAGAGCTCACAAAGTTGAAAGGCCAATGATGGATTTTATCTATTTAAAAACTACGCAAATAGTTTTTTCTGAACAAGAGATGAAAAAAATACGTTATATTATCAAATAATCACAGAACACATATTTATATAAACAAAGATTCGTGATTTTTAAATAGTGAATGAATGCATTTTTTTTTGGGAAGAAAGGAGTACTTGCTGTTGGGGGCACACCACGACACCAAGTTTAATGATACTTAACCAAGTTGCACTACTACACTAGTGTGCTCTTCATAATTTTCTTCATCCAATCACAACGAACCCTGGCCTCTAAATTTGTCAAAGTTTCTATTGTATACGGAGTAGTATATGTTAGCCTTAGGTTGAAAACGGGAAGTTTAGGAAGAGTGTAATGCTTTGATCGCAACTTGCTCCGTAGCTCGCTACACCAACCTTGCTCCAATCTTGCACGAAACACGCACAGAGGAAACGATAAAACTCACCTGCCTTCTCGATCTATAAATGCAACCCCAGCACCCATACACTGCACCCATACACTGCTTCTTCACCCCAACCCTAAACCTCCCCTCCCCATTCATCCAAACAACAAAACCAACAAACAATGTCACATAGAGAGAGAGAGAGATGTGTACACAATGGAAGAGTTCGAGTTCCGGCCTTGAAGTCCTCTCCCTTCAAGAACAAACCATCTGTAAAGGAGGAAAGAGAATATATTTAGCATTTATTAGCATTTATTTCCGTATATATTAGTTATGGTAGTTGCCTTGTATAGAGATTCCGTTTCCTTTGTTAATTAGGACTCTTTGCTATATATACGGCTGGATTGTAAATTGTAAAGGACAGAAAGGAATACAAGGATTTTGATTCCGAAACAATTCTTTCATGGTATCAGAGCCAAAACTCTAGGAATTTCCGCACGATCGCCCGGCATCGCGTCCATCGATCGTTGCCCGCTGTTGCTGCCGAGAAGACCGGAACGGTCGACCGTTTGTTCATAACGGTCGAAGACATCGACCGTCCCGACGGCAGAATCTCCAACCGCTGCTGTTTTTGATCCAATTCTTGAACTCTGTCATCTGGTATGTCTGAAGAAACGCCTATGAAGATCATTTCCGGTAAGAAGAATGAAGAACGAGAGGAGGAGGAGGTTGGGGTGCGACGTCGTCGTATCTCCCCTTACGATTTGTCTCCGAGCGACAATCCGGGTATGATCTTTACCCATGTCGTTCTAAAGGGAGATAATTATGATGAGTGGTCCAAATCTCTGCGCTTAGCTCTTCGAGCACGCAAGAAATTTGGATTTGTTGATGGAACAATTGAGATGCCAGATCCCGATTCAGAAGATTTTGACGATTGGTGGACAAACCATTCACTGTTGGTCTCTTGGATTCGAAACACGATTGATCCAACCTTGAGATCCAGCATATCTTTTATGGAAAAGGCTTCAGATCTGTGGAGCGAGTTGAAGGCTCGTTTCTCTGTGGTTAATGGACCAAGGGTCCAGCAGTTGAAGCGAGAATTGGCGGAATGCAAACAGAAGAATCTTTCTATAATGGAATATTATGGAAAGATGAAGAAGTTGTGGGATGATCTAGCAGATTTAGAGCGGTTTCCGATCTGCACGTGTAGGAATTGCACGTGTGACTTGCAGGAGAAGCTCACGCAGATGCGTGAGAGGGAACGCTCCCATCAATTTTTGATGGGTCTGAGCGATGCTTTGTATGGGACTTTGCGGTCAAATTTGTTGGCCCAGGAAATCATACCACCAGTGTCAAGATTATATAACATTCTTGTCCAAGATGAGACGGCACGACATGGCATGCACAAAGGAGAAAGCAGTGAAGCAGGTGCATCCGTGTTTGCCGTAAAGAACAAGATGGAGGCCAAAGAGCTCATGTGCTCACATTGTGGGAAAACAGGACATGATATTGAGGCGTGCTACAAGCTGATCGGGTACCCAGAGGGATGGGTGTACCGCGATCAGGCTGGAAGAGAAAGAGGAAACGGCCGGGGAAGGGGTCGTGGTGCTGCACGAGGTGGCAGACGGTCGACCGTGGCGGCTGGACGGTCGACCGTTACGGGCGGACGAGGGGAAGTCCATGCAGTTCAAGGAGAAGAGAAAAGACCATCCCCGCTCCCGAATTTTGAGGATCTGACACCTGAACAGTGGAACGCTGTTCGTCATGCACTCTCGCTCTCCCCTACAGATAACTCACAGAAACTCTCAGGTATCCCTGTATCACCTCGTTGGATAATTGATACTGGTGCGTCCAATCATATGACAGGTGATCTTTCGTTATTATATGATGTTGTGGGAGTGTCTCCTTGTGAAATTGGATTGCCTGATGGGAAACGAGTTGTGTCTGTTCAATCTGGAAAGGTTGATTTGACTATGACTATGACTTTGCGGAATGTGTTGTTTGTTCCAACCTTGAATTGCCATTTAATTTCTGTGTCACAGTTGACAAGAGATATGAACTGTGAAGCAAAGTTTACCAATGATTTGTGCATCTTACAGGACCTAAGTTTGAGGACAACGATTGGTGTGGGTAGACATGAAGGAGGATTGTACTACCTAAAGAAGGAAGGGAGGAGCATGGCGTCCAGTGCTGCTAAGAAGAATGTGTTTGACCTTTGGCACAAACGTCTAGGACATCCTTCTTTGCATGTTTTATCCTTAGTTCCTGTAGTTGGTTCAAATAAAAGTAGTCATAGTCATTGTGATATCTGTTTGCGTGCTAAACAAACTCGTGCCAGTTTTCCTATCAGTTTTCATCAATCTATGGACAAATTTGATATGGTGCATTGTGATGTGTGGGGTCCTTATCGGACACCAAGTTTGGATGGTTCTACACTGTTTTTGACTATTGTAGATGATTTCTTGCGTGGTGTGTAGGTATATTTGCTTGATTCAAAACGAACTGTAGGGAGTGTTTTTAAACAATTTTGTGCCATGGTTGAATGTCAATTTGGGAAGAGAATAAAATGTGTGAGAAGTGACAATGGTACAGAATTTGAGTGCTTGAATGAATATTTTTTGGAGAAAGGAATTGTTCGTGAGACATCTTGTGTGACTACACCACAGCAAAATGGAAGGGTGGAGCGTAAGCATCGACATATTCTGAATGTGGGACGTGCTCTGAGATTTCAAGCGGGTCTTCCGATAGAATTTTGGGGAGAATGTATACAAACGGCGGCATATTTGATTAACCGGACTCCCTCGTCTCTCCTAGGCGGGGTTACACCGTATGATCAAAAGCTCTATGGAAGGGCCCCTGCGTTAACTCACATTCGTATTTTTGGTTGCAGATGTTACGTTCACAACCTGAAGAGAGACGGAGATAAATTTTCAAACAGGCCTTTCAGGATGAACGTTGGAGGAAGGCCATGTGAGAAGAAATTGATGCATTGGAAGCCAATGGTACGTGGTCTCTTGTTCGTCCTCCACGTCATAAAAAGGCTCTTGGATGCAAGTGGGTATATAAAATCAAGCGCAAGTCTGATGGCAGTATAGAGAGATACAAGGCTCGGCTTGTTATACTTGGTAATCACCAGGTTGAAGGTATTGACTACAAAGAAACTTTTGCTCCTGTGGTCAAGTTGACCACCGTGCGCACCCTTTTAGCAGTCGCAGTAGTTAAGAGATGGGAATTGCATCAGATGAATGTTCACAATGCATTCCTGCATGGAGATCTTCCGGATGAGGTGTATATGAGGTTGCCACCTGGTTTCTCGAGTTCGTCCAATATGGTGTGCAAACTCAAGAAGTCTTTGTATGGCTTGAAACAGGCTCCAAGATGTTGGTTTGCAAAATTGTCTGGGGCATTGAGATGATATGGATTTGTGCAGTCTGTTTCCGATTACTCTTTATTTTCTTTTGTT